GTGATATCCAGATACTGATTTCAGTGTTTTCACTCTTAAAACTTTCTGAAGTAGTTGCTTTATGCAATACCATAAAATGCTCAGTAGGTATGAGAATGAGAAAACATTTTCAAAGGAGCTAGGACACAGTTCTTGATGCAGTTGAAGCCATGAGGCTGTAGTCTTCACAGTTTGCTGAAAGGGAAAGGTGTGCTCCACCTAATGGATCAATCGTGGTGGGACAAAGTGTACAAGAGTTTAACAGGCTACTACCTAGCCATATGTTCACTGGATGTACAAGCTGTTAGGATCAGATAATCAACCACTGGGTTCAAAGAGCGCTCTCATGAGGAGTCCTGGAAACAACTGATATAGCTGCTAAGGGTCTAAGAGTCTCTTTCAATGCACAAAGCAGTTTGTTTCTTTCAAAACCTTCTACACAATGGGGCAGGCAGGATTCATTTGCTCCTGAGCACTGGAGGGACTAAAATCATGTAGGGCCAAGAGCCTGAGGGTGTGTCTCCTCATTTGTTTAGGTTTATTCGTATTTGGTCTATGTCGCCCAACAACCCCATGACTGAATCATATTTCCCATTTACTATAATAAATCCATATCAGTTCCAGTTCTGTCTCAATTGCATTAAGGCACTAAAAAGCTGATAGACATGCTAATAACAGTCATAGGCCCCGTAAAATGCCATGCTGTCTTACAAAATTGTTCAATGTGCTTTTACCACCCATAGTATTTTTACAGATTTGTCCATTGAGTTATTCGACAAATATGAAAGCACTTCCTATAAAAAAGCAAATAGGTGTCGTATCATCTCAAAGGTGGTTAAAAAAAAAAGGTAAAAAAACTAAACCAAGAAATTATAGCTGAATGGCTATGACATTATTTCAAATGTGAAAAACAGACTATAATCCAAACATTTATCCCAAATTCTAACCACCACTTTAAGATTACCAGGTCCCCTAGTAATCTTACACAATAAATGTGTTAAATTGTTTTTCTTATTTACTAAATAAATGGGAAAGACAAGGATGCATGAAGAGTGTTTATAGTAATGCGCAGCCCAAAATACAACTAAAATCTGATGCTGAGACAGTGACTGGAGAAAAGAAATATCCTTTACAGTGACACCTCAGAAATTAAGATTATTGGGGAATGGCCATACTAACTGAGAAGACATGAAGATATTTATAAAAAAAAAAAAAAAAAAAAAAAAAGGAATGTTGGTGGGATAGTCCCATTTAAAAAGACCCAACTTGTCCCATTCAAAATGAGGCCTGACTGGTTAGCTCAGTTAGTTCACATGCAGTGTTATAACACCAAGGTCAAGGGTTCGGATCCCCGTACCGGCCAGCTGCCAAAAAAAAAAAAAGCAATTTTATTACTTTAACCTACATACAGTATCCTAACTGGGCTAGACCAACAATAACATTATCCCTTAAATGACATGCTTTAGTGAATTGAGAATTATTTATAATCAGATTCTTAGTAGTCTAATCATTCCTCCTATAAATTTGTTTATAAGCATTAAAAAAAAAAAAAGCTTCTTTGCATTGGAGGAAAGAGGATGAGAAGTCCATCCCCTTGTCCAAATTACTAAATTCCAAACTAGTGACATCTGTATCAATAATTCCAAGTTCTTTAGTAAATGGTCTAACATACAACAGGAACAAGTTCCTGTTATTCTGGTGTGCCATCCCTGACAGCAAGGCCCTCTTTCTAAACCTTGCTGTGCTACCCCTGGTGAACTGTGCTCCCTTAGTCTAGAGGAAGAAGGGGTGGGGTAATGATGAAGGAGGTCATGGAGAAGAAAGGTCAACAAAGGGAAGAGAGGGAAGCAGTAGAAAGTGGAGAATAAGGGGGAAACGATATGTTCACAGTCACAGGTCTCCAGGAAAATAATCTAAATCCAGTATTACAGTTAAGTGTCAAAGAGTTACCAGCCACAAAAACTACTAATGTTCTTTCTCCCAAAATGCAATAAAGACAGGGAAATTAATGAAATCAATATTCTTTTCTGCTCACCTGCCATAAAATTTAGGTGACTCTGGACAAGGTTAAAAGTAAGTACATCTCTGGCGTAGTGATAATAAGCATAGGCTCATGAACCAGACTGCCCGGGTTAGAATGTTGGATCTGCCACTTTCTAGGGACAATGTATTTCACCCTTCTGTGCTTTAGTTCCTCATCTGACAGTGGCTGTAAGGATGAAGATGGAGTTTTTTAAACACAATACACTTAGAACTGTACTTAGCACATAAATAAAAGCTATATAGAACATTCCATGGGCTACAAAGTGGAGTGGGCGGAAGGGGGGATGGGGAGGAAGGTTGGGGATAATTGGGTGGGGGACACAGGGTACAAATGCAATTTGCGGTTAGGGTATATAGTCAGTATGAATCTGGCCCCCACATCATGGGCACGAGGGGTGACAATCAGCTTTGTATCTCATGAATACTCCTAATCAATTTTTAAAAAAAGAAACTGCCATAAATAAATAAAAGCCATATAAATGTTAGCTATTATTATTATTCTTAGTTGTTTCATTCTCTAGCCTCTCAAAAAAAAGGGAAAAAAGTTGAAAGTTTTTTCATCTTATAGCCTACAGACTTTGATCATTTTAGCCCTTCAAATATGACTTTCTAGGGGATAGAATGTGGGTTGTGAGAGAAAGAACAGAGTTAAGGATTACTTCAAGTTCTGAGCCACTGAAAGGTTTTTTAGGGAGCAAATCAAGAATTTCATTTTGTACACGTTGGAAGTTTGAAGTGCCTATTAGACTTTAATAGAGATGTGGAGTAGGCAGTGGGACACAGAAGTATGAAGTTCATGGGAGAAGTACGGGCTGGGGATGTACATTTGGAAATCATCAGCAAATAGACGGTACTTAAAGCCCTGGCAATACTGCCCTCCTAGTGGCTCAGGCTTTGAAGTAATCCTTATCATATTATAATCATTTATCTAGTAATTCGAATCTTAACTTAGTTCACCTTAAATCCCATAGTATTTGCTGAACCTTTACTATGTTTTAGGTATTTTATCAGATCCTTTGAATACAGATTAAATCATTTAACAAATATTTACTGAGTACATATAACTGTGCTAGGTAGGCACTGAGAATCCAGCAGTGAACAAAATCAGAATAATCCCTAGTTTTAGAGAGCTCTCGGACTGATCTGGGATATAGTTATTAATCAAATAATCACACAAATATAATATGTAGCTATAAATTGTGATACATGATATAAGAAATTATAATGAGAAAAGTTATTTAGATTGGGGGAGAGAAAAGTCACTGGAAGTTTTCTCTGAAGGAATAACATTTAAGTTGAGGCAAACGAGAACTATTTTCCTATATAAACTCTTCGAGAAACTATTTTCCAGCCTATACCATTGTGAAAAAATGGTTTCCCTTTTGCTCATCTATTTGGGGATGAGTAGTATATCTGAGGGTTTAGTAAGTGTTTAAAAAATTGGGCCAAAATTCAAAATAATGACAACACCAAAAGCTGGGGAGGATGTGGAGCGACAGGAACTCTCAACCATTGCTTCTGGGAATGTAAAATGGTACAGCCACTTTAGAAGACAGTTTGGCGGTTTCTTACAAAATTAAATATATTCTTGGCATACCATCCAGCAATTGTGCTCCTTGTTATTTACACAAATGAGCTAAAACTTATCTCTACACAAAACCCTGCACACAGATGTTTTTAGCAGCTTTATTCATAATTGCCAAAATTTGGAAGCAACGAAGATGTCCTTCAGTAGGTGAATGGATAAATTGTAGTACATTCAGACAATGGAGAATTATTCAGCGCTAAAAAGAACTAAGCTATCAAACCATGAAAAGACATGGAGGAACTTTAAATGTATATTACTAAATGGAAGAAGCCAACTATACCACACTCTGAAACAGACAAAACCATGGACACAATAAAAGGCTCAATAGTTTCCTGGAATTAGGGTAGAGGAAGGAACAAACAGGAAGAGCATAGAGGATTTTTAGGGCAGTGAAACTATTCTGTACTGTTCTATAACAGTAAATACATATCATCGCACATTTGTCAAAATGTACAATGCCTTATCCACATGGTAACATCTACTCTTCCTTTGACTCAACTGAAATGTCATCTCCACTATGAAACCTTTGGCGAATCCCCTAGGTAAGGCTGTCCCTCTTCTGTGCTCCTACAGCACTTTGTTCATCTTTCACACAGTACTTAGAACCCACTGTCATTATTTACCTACATATCTGTTCTCCCACTATAATGTAAGCTTGAAAACAAAGAATATGTCTTAGTCATTTTTATAGTCCCAGCATCCAGGATTTAATACATACATAATAAATGTTTGAACAAATAATGAATGGTTAAGATGAAAAAGTATTCATTCCACAAATATCCAAGTGCCTACAATGTGCCAGGCACTTCTAATACAGATTGAGTATCCCTAATCCAAAAAATCTGAAATCCAAAATGCTCCCAAATTTGAAAATTTTTGAATGCCAACATGACAGCTCAAAGGAAATGCTCACCGGAGCATTCTGAATTTTGGATTTTCAGATTAGGAATGTTCAACCAGTATGTATTCTGCAAAAATTCCAAAATCAAAAAAAAAAAAAAAAATCCGAAATCCAAAATACTTCTGGTCCCAAGCATTTCAGATAAGGGACACTCAACCTTTACAAGAAAGGAGCAAGAACTTTTGCCAGTAAGATGATCAGTACCCTGGATACAAGGTTCTGTTTTAAGCCTCTTTCAGCATATTAACTGTAGAAAATTCCAAATGAGCCACTTGTTAATTTATTCACGGTTAGGAAAGAACCACTTGCCCGATGTTTAGAAGTGAGCAGCATTATGACAATGAATGGCAGTGGGAAAGCTCAATGCACTTATTCTATGTGCGCTTTAAGAGTCCAGTCTCAATTTCATAGTCACCTCTTTATCACTTTCTGGAGAACGTAAGTTAGAGTTGGCAAAGGAGAAAACAGTAAATGAAAACAAAGCCAAAGTGATACTGCCAATAAATACTTTAATGAGAACTGAGGTCTGTAACATACACAGCAGTAACTACCCTGGCCTATGCCTTCTGTTCTAACCCAAATCTGGGACGAGCCAACTACATTTGACACACGTTTGGAAAGAAGGCCATTTTGAATGTCACCCATCAGTATCCATCTTCACAGAAGATACCAATCTGGGGCCAGTCTCAATGTTAACACTTCCTTTCAGGGAAAAGTTAACATGGTAACACAAATACATAAACAACTCTGAACCATCCTATTGTTCTTCCATCAGGAGGCCCTTGGGAGACCAATGGTTTGGTAAACACTTACAACTTTGTCAAAATACATTAGAACATGGAAAAAGGGAAAAGAATAGAGTAGAAAGGCTGGCAGGGCTGGGCTCACATATAATTCAGTCCTTAGATTTGAAGCCTCTTGAGCTGCTCGTATGTTATAAAAAACTGAAGGAGTAAGTCATGGAAAATCACTGGGTTGATGCTGAAAGACAAACCTAGTTCTCTAAAATTGTGTATTGCATTCTCTTAAATTAAGGTACTTAGTCTGTGCTATTCTAAGTTGCACTTGCTTATTAAAGTCTTTTTTAGAACAACACCTGTCAAATCAAGCATGCGTTGAGTGCCTACCATGTGCCAATTATGAAAACTGTCTCTTAGCAACATAAACAGATTAAAACTAATATACTTATAGTCTTCAGGGGAAAAAAGACATACACACACACACACACACACACACACACACACACAAAATAACCAAGAACATCAATGACAACATATAATTCAGTGCTAGAGTAGTGTTACAGACATTAGGTGATCAGAGCAATTTCAAACAGGGACAGAGAGATCTCTCTCAGCCTAGAGACCCCACAAGGGCAGGGAATTACTTTCCAACCCTGCAGTGCTCACCATACCACACACAGTATCAGAACATGACACTGCACATAGAAGGCACTCAAACACAGCTAAAGGAGGGAGATTCTCCCATGGGGAAAGAGCCCTACTTGGCTGTAGATTCCTTCACTCTATTCCTGTTTGCTATCCTGTTATCTCCCATCTATTTTGGTCGTATAGTTAGGGGTAGGAAATCTGGACCACCTCAGCACAGACTTTCCTGTGGGCATCTCCCAACAGGGTTTCTAAAAACCTCATAGCCCCCCCCTTCCAGATTGGTTGTTTGCTGTAGTTTTGTTTTAAAGAGGGAAGTTTGGCACATCTTTTCTACCTCCTTTAGTTTGTATCAGCCTCCAGTTGAAAGCTGTTTCTCTGCATAGTTCCATCCTCAATGGCCACCATTGGGATGCTTGAGTTTCTCACTTGCCTAAAAGGCTTTAATAATCAAAATTTTCTTCCTATAGCCTAGAATTACCTGGGAGCTTGAAGCATTTGCTTTCACTCTTGTATTCTAAAAGGATACAATGATGTTCCAGGGTCCAAGTCGAAGCCAGTTTGGCCAAAATCCTTTATAGAGTGCAAAAAAGCCCTCATGTTTCCACATCTGAGGGAAAGATATAACCAAAAACAGAATGAATTCCCCTTTCTCTTTACATTTGACAATCATCTTCCACGCCAACCCCAGCAACTTATGGCTCTATGAATGGTCTATTTTCTAAAGACACATTTTGAATTCATATGTAATCTAAATCCATCCACCCACTTATTCAACAAATATTTATTGAGCACCTACCATATCCAAGGCACTCTTCTCAATGCTGGAAATAGTAAACAAGACATATGGTAGCATTGTAGGGTGACTATAATTAACAACTCATTGTATACTTTTAGTTAACTAGAAGAGAGGATTTTGAATGTTCCCCACACAAAGAAATAATAAATGTTTGAGGTGATGGATATGTTAATTAACCTGCTTGGTCATTACACATTGTCTACATGTTACATTGCACCCCATAAATATGTACATTATGTGTCAATAAAGTTCTAAAATTAAAATAAAATAAACAGTAAATAAGACAGAGAAAGTGTCTGTGATAGCCAGTCTCTAAGATGGTCCCCAATGAACACTACGTCCAGTTATCCATGCCCTTGTGTAGCCCCCATGCCACAATGTATCAGGATTGTTCTGTGTCACCAATAGAATACGGTAGTAGTAAACATATGTCACTTCCATTGCTAGGTTATAAAAGATATCTGCCTTGTTCTCCTGGATCATTCACTCTGGAGGAAATCAGCTGCCATGTCATGAAGAAAGGCCTACATGGTGAGGAACTGAGGCCTCCAGACAATAGTCATGAGTGATCACTGGAGCAGATATCCCAGCCCTAACCTTTAGATAACTGCAGCCCTAGCTAGCTGACATACAGACTACAACTTCATGAGAGATCCTAAACTAGAATCAGTCAGCTAAGCTGCTTGTCAATTTCTGACCCACAGAAACTACAAAATAATAAATGTTTGTTGTTTTAAGGCACTAAGTTTTAGGGTAATTTTTTATGCAGCAACAGATAACTTATACAGTCCCTGCCCTCATGGAGTAGGGCTGACAGATACACAAATTGATATACAATATATTATATCCAGAAATAATAAGTGCTACAAAGAAAACTACAGCAGGGTAAGGGAATAGGGAGTTGGGCAAGTCATCATCCTTCTCTGAGTCCATTTCATCACTGTAAATTCTATGTAACGCTATGGCCTACCTCATATGAGTGCTTTGAGGATTACATGAGGAATACTGTGACCTACTTTGAATTTTGGTTTCCTGCTTCATACAATGGAGATCCTTTACACACCAACTGAGTGGTTATGACAATTAAATGACAAATTATACATACCAAAGGTCATAAACTGGTGGTGTGTGCTGAATTCTGCCAGCAGAAACGGTTCATATATAATGGACAAATAATGGACATGCTGATAGTACTGATCTGGCCATCACATCTTGAGCACAAGTGGTGATGGTCAGCTTTGTACTCCATGAATATGCATAATCAATTAAAAAAAAAAGAAGGGACAAATATGTATTAAGTAACTACAATGTGTGAGGCACCATGTCAGACATTGAAAAATGTTTTTTTGCCTTTCCACTAGTGAAATAAAACCCACCACTATTCTAAAAAATAGATATATTTGGATAAGACAGTAATATGAGAAGCCAGACTTGTAAACATCCTTTATCTCATCCTGCAGATTAAGAACACTAAAGATAATTATCCTTACTAACCATTTTTTGGAACAAACAGTAACATAATAAATGTATTATTTATGGAAACATAGAAGTAATATGCTTCCCCTAATGTATCTTCAGCAAATGCTGAATGTCTCAGACCCAAACTGATGTTGAGAAATTATGAAAATCATTCAAAGTAAAGCCCAGAGGCGGATAACCTAGAATCATAGACTGATAAATGACAGAGACCTCAGACACAATCCAATCCCATCATCTCTTACCTGGACTACCACAATAGACTAACAATTGGTCTAAAATCTCCATCTAGAAGCCAGAACAATCTTTTAAAATTATAAATCAGATCGTGCCACTTTCTGGCTTAAAGCTCTAGAATGGCTTCCCGGTGGATTTCATTCTAATTACAAAATTCTCTGCGATAACCTACAGGATCCTACATAATTTAGCTCCTGCCTCTCTCTCCAGTTTAATTTCCTACTACTTTGTCCTTCATTTACCATATTCAGCCACATGAGCCTCCTTTCTAAACACTGAACATGTCCAGTTCATTCCCACCTTAGGCCTTTGGTAACCTCTTTATGAAATGCTTTTCTCCCAGCTCTTCACAAGGCCACCTCCTTCACATCACTGATATCACAGCTCAAATGTCACCTCCTCAGTTTTTTCCTTACCATACTAGCTGAAGTAGTTCCCCACCACTGAGTCACTATTTCAATATGCTCTATTATTTTCTTCACAGCATTTACTTCTATCTGAAATTATACTGTTTATTATTTGTATATTTATTGTCTATCTCCCTCAACTAGAATGTAATCTCCAAAGAGCAGGGACCATGTCTTGCTCATCATTATATCCCCACCACCTAACACAGTGTCTGGCACATTACAATTTCCAATAAATATTTGTTGAATAAATGAACACACAAAAACAGTAAGGGTCTCTAACATTCCCATGAGCCATTTGAATACTCATAAATCTCCAAAACAGTGACCATATTTTTCAGAAGGGTAGAACTAAGAGGCACTTTTTGGCTTAAGGCAGTTGTGTGTACACAAACAAGAACTTCTGTAGATAAGCACAGACAACAGGGTACTTCATGAAATTATGTAGGTTCATTCATTCAATAAATAATTTCCTGCAGATAAAGTGAAAAACAAGATGCACACAGCTCTGCCTTCATTGAACTTAGAGTCTACTGAGACAGACATTAAAAGCAATTACCATAAAATGTAACAAACGTGAATAAAATGTGATACAGTCACACGATGGAATATTATTCAGCAATAAAAAGGAACAAAGTACTCATACATGCTATGTCACAGATGAACCTTGAAAACATTATGCTAAGTGAAAGAAGCCAGTCAAAAAGGTCATATTTTGTATGATCCCATTTACATGAAATATCTAGAATAGGCAAATCTATAGAGATAGAAATGGGGGATAGGGAGTAATACCTAAACAGTACAGGGATTCTTTCTGAGAAAACTGACTGTGGTAATTGTTGCACATATCTCATTGTTATATACAAATATATTAAATATACCAAAAGCCACTTTGAATGGGTTAATTCTATGATATGTGAATTGTCCTCAATAAAGATGTTTTTAAAAATATAATAAATGCTATGATGAAGGAAGTACAAGAAACCACACACACATAACCTAGTCCAATGGTCAGGGAAGATCTTCATGAAAAAGTAACAACATCTGAAATGAGTAGGAGCTAGCCAAGTAAAAGATATATTCAGGGCAGTGTGGGGGACATCGAACAAAGTATATGACATGAGTGAAAACTTGGAGAAAAAAGAAAGTCTAGTGCTGGAAATTGTTTGGTATGTTGGGAATATAGAATAAAGGTGGCAGACACAAGGCTGTAGGAGTGAAAAGGGGGTCATATAGAGCCTTGAGTCAATGAGAAGCCATTAAAGGATTTTAGATAGGGATGACAGGATGAGATTTGCAGCTGTTCTTTTCTATGTCAGAGAAGAATGCATGACTCCATTCACCAAAGTGTTTTGGGACACAAAGATGAAATACAAAATAATAAAGTATGATGCCATTATATATAATGATAACATAGAATAAAGTCATTTTAAAGAAACTTAATAGCAAGTAAGTGAATGAGTGAGCAAACATAAGTACTTAAAAGTTTCTACCAACATAAAAATATGTTTCTGTAGATATAACACAACACACTGGTTACAAGTAGGAACTTTGGAATCGGAGAGACCCAGGATAAATCCCAGGTCTGCCACTTATTAGCTGTGTAATCTTGGGTAAATTACTTAGCTACTCTGAACCTCAGTTTCCTCATTTATAAATGGGAAAGATAATATTACTCCATAGTGTTGCTGTGAGAGTTAAAGGATATACTCTATGTATAGTGCCTGGCATACAATAAGCATTCAATAAATGCTAGATATACTACATTATTATATATCCTTTTAGCCAACCTTCTTGAAAGATTGCTTTACACTTGTCTACTTAGCCTCACTTCCTATGTTTCTATCTCCTTCTACTAGAATTTAAGTGTCATGAAGGCAGGACTTTTTTGTTCACCAATGTATCCTCACCAACTTAGAACAGTGCCTAGCACATAAGATACAAACTTTTTTTTTTAATTGAATGAATGAATAATTAAACACACTCCTCAATGCACAGAAATCTGGCTTTTGTAAACATCAATCCACCAAACCTCTCTAGAAAATATTAAATCCAACAGACACTTTGCAGTCTTTATCATACTGGATCTCTGTATTGCATGTGACATTAAATAACCACTCATTTCTTCTTGAAACTCATTATTCCCTTGGCTTCCATGATGCTACTCTCTCCTAAGTTTCCTCATATCTTTTGAATTGTTACCCCTTGGTGTCTTTCTTGGGTTCTTCACCTGCAAGCCCTTAAAAAATGGTATTCCCCAGTGTTCTTTCCTTAGCTCACTGCTCACTGCTCTTCTGTCTATAACAGTGATTGTCAAGTGGAGAGGTGAGCACGTCAGAATACCAAGGAAGGCTTTTGCCAACTTATATTCCCCAGGGTCTGAGACTCACTGCCTCAGTGAATTACTATGACTGAAAAGAGTTTTATACTACTCCAGTATACTAGAAAGGCAAATAGGTTATGAACTCCTCTACCTGCTCCCCTTGGTCAACCCCCTCCACAGTTACTTGCCACATGTATGCTAATGATTCACAGGCTCTTATCTATATCCATGAACTCTCCCCTAGTTTGGGCTAGTATATCCAAATATATCCACTAGATATTCCTCATGCACATCAAACTAAGTTTCCAAAACTGTGGTGTCTCCCACAAAATCAGCTCCTCTTCCTGTGATGCTGTTCTCAATGAATGTCACCATCTGTCACCAAATCCATGTAGAGGATTCATAAAACAAATGTACCTCACCGGGCTTGGTTTTCCAAAGCCTTGCAGTTTCAAATACTGACCTTGCAAAGCACAGGAAATTTTCCCCAGGCTATTGAGTCTCTGTTGCAAGACAAGAATTGTAACACAGCAAGGCTGCTGGTTCAAAGACAGACAAGTTTCTAATTGATATGTAAAATTACTAAAAAGCTGCTGGAGGGAAAAGAAATGTTTGCTAAATCAAGCCTTTGTTAGTGGATCACTTAATTGCCTAACAGAATGTCATCTGCCGTGTTTTTACTGAATGTTACCAGCTTCTATTGTAAAGCTTGTTAAACTATACTTAGCAAAATCCCACCTATGTCTCCTCCTGTAACTTCTTGGTCTGGAGAATAAATGCAGGAAGAAAACCCCAATTCGTGGTTAATTTCCCAAATGGAAGAAATGCCTTGCACTTGAGGAAGTTCTGGGATATTAACCCCTTTCTGGGGCTTCTCACTGTTCAAAAGAGATGGGCTTTGAGTAATTTTTGGTGGTTCCATCACCCAGGGGCAAAGGGGTGACATATCTGTGGGAGGCAAAGCAACAAATCCAAAAACCTGGAAGTTATCTTTGACACCTCCTTTCTCCCACACCTCTCTACATCCAGTCAACCAAATCCTGCTGATTTTATCAACTAAATTAGTTTCAACTCTGCCCCACTTTCGACAGCCCCACTATCATGCTCGAGTTTGGGCATTCATCTCCTCTTGCTCAGATTACTGCAAGAGCCTTCTAATCAGCTTCTCTATTTCTAGGTCAGGGGTTCTCAAAGTGTGATCCTCAGACTAGCAGCACCAGTACTGCAAATTCTAAGGTCCCACACTCTAGATGTACTGAATCAAAATATCAATCTAGGGCCCAGATAACTGCATTTTAACAAGTCCTCCAGGTGATTCTAATGCATGTTAAACTTTAAAAAACCACAGCTCCAGGATTATCCCTTTAGATTAGTGGTCTTCAACCTTGGATGAACATTGCAGTCAACTTGAGAAGTTTTAAAAATATTGAAAACTGGGTCTTTCTGCCCTGATTCTAAGTTAATTGGTCTAACGTAGACATGGGAGCTGTTAAAGTTCCCCAAGTGATTCCAATGTGCACCCAGGGCTGAGAATCAATCTTAGATCCAGTCTCCACAAAGACAGAGTGCTCTATATAAGATGCAAATCTGATCCAATTAAAAGTCTTCAGCAGGTCCCCAAGAAGGTAAAGAAAAAAGTCCAAGCACCTTAGTATAGCATTCAATACCCTTTATAACCTAACTAGCCTTTAGCCACCAATACGAGGACCAAACCACAGTATAGAGGTTAAGACTACCCTGATTTGATCATTACACATTGTATACATGTAACAAAATATCACTCTATACCCCATAAATATGTATAACTATTATGTGTCAATTAAAAATAAAAATAAAACTTTTAAAAAAAATGTTGATTAAAAGCCAAATGGTCTGAGTTTAAATCCCAGCTCTCCCACTTACTAACTGCGAAACCTTGGGCAGGTTACTTAAATCTCTCAGTACTTCAGTATCCACCTCATGGGGTAATGATGAGGATTAAATGAAAGAATACATGTAAGTCTCATTACAACAGTTCCTGACATAAAATAAAGTGCTCAACAGATGTGAGTTATTATTATTTAAGATGCCACTATGTACAGAAAGCCTACCTCAAACTTCCAAATTGGGCTAAAATTTCCTCCCACAGAACTCTGATTTTATCACTTACCAGGTTGTACTGATTATGTCCATTGTACACACCTTATAGTACTTTTGTAATAGCTATAATTTCTCTGTAACTACTAAAATGGTGCCCGATATATAACAAAAAGAGGTTAAAAAAAACTGATAACAGCAGATAAACCATATAGCACCATCATATTTTAGCCCCAAATTTGTTTTTGTAGCAATACTACCACCAGGAATTACATAATACATTTATGATATTCAGCTTCCTACAAACATAACAGCAGAAACTTTCAAAGTCAAAGTGTGAACAAAAGCACACCCTTGAACTGAAATCAGTACCAGGTTTTCAATTACAGGGTATCTGTCTTATCTGAAGTGGGCAAATGTGAAATATGTTAAGTCTTTTCTATCACTAATTCTACACCATTCTTTTAATGAAAGTATCCTGTATTCTCAAGCACTCTAACTGGAATGATAATATTAAGGACGACTGTGCATCAGCAGATTGCCAAGGAGACAGCTTTTCTACCAGGAATGACTCTGAGAGGCTACTAAAAATACAAATAATACTTTCATCTTCAGAATGATATGTAGCAACTAAGAATAAAGGACTGAAAGAAGGTCTGAGACATCAAAGAAAACTAAAAATGTCACCCATATCCACAGTATGCATACCTTTAAAATACCATCCAAAGTGCCCTTGTAGAGGTCCACATGTCCCACAATTGCTCTCTGGTTCATCATGCGAGTTCGCACCACATCAACTGGATTGGACGCCAGAGCCCCAGCCAAGCCACACGTAAAGCTGGAACTAAAGATAAAAACTTTAAAAAGACAGATTTCCCCCACTTCCATCCCCTGCCCACTTAAACAGAAATCAGGCCAAACGCAAACTTACAATAACTCAGACCCATCAGGAAAAACCTAGCACTTGCCGTTTCATTATAATCTAAAGAGAAAGAAAATCCTTTCTAAAGAGACATCATTCAAAAGTTGTCCCTTCAGTTTTCAATCTGAAACTCAGCCTCTTTTTTAAAGGAGACAGTTTATAAGCCTAACGAGAGCCCTAAGCAGAAAATGTCATGTACCATCAATTAGTTACACAAATTTTTCAAACCACAGCATCATATGCCAAATGCATTTTTTTTTTTTTTTTTTGGTCTTTTTTCGTGACCGGCAACGGATTGCAACCCTCAGTGTCGCGCCCGTACCGGGCCGGGACCGGCAACGGGATCGCACCCCTCGGTGTTGCTCCCGCACCTCGCTCAGCCAGTGAGCGGCCGGTCTGTATGTGGGATCCGAACCCTCGGCGGGAGCGCCGCCACGCTTCCCAAGCGGCGCACTGTAGCAGTGTGCCACCGGACCGGCCCCCAAATGCATTTGAGTAGCAAAATATCATAGAGCTTACAAGACAAAGAAAATCTAAATTGAGATTAACAACAGCCTTCAGCCAAAAGCTGTGGTTTAGTTTCACAGATCCTAAAAAAGTTCGCCCTTTTTTCTGATTCACATTGAGAAACGTCTGCTTTGATACAAAATTAACCAAAGCAAATAATAGATGTGCTTATTAGATATAGAGGCTGTGTGTGAATAAATGCAAATCCTATACACATCTGGTAGGCTGCTGTATTAAACACTGCCCCCAAGTATCCAAGCACCCATAGCATCTGGGATCTCTGTGAAGTATAAAGTGTCCAGAACTCTTGAAGTTATGGTAATAAGAGAGACAAGGGTATTTAGGCCATAAGTACGAGTTATCGATCCCACTTGAGGATTTCAGTGAAAAAGGCATTTTATACTCAAAATGCTAGAAATAAAGAATGAGCACAACCTATCCTACTTACACAAAATGAGTTAAAATTGTGTCTCCCATCATTCCCGACAATATTAAGTGCTTCTTCGTAATATCATAGACTGGTAGTTCTACTCCCACAACAATGGCAGCACGCTGAGCAGTTGGAACCACACCCTACAAAACACAAGTGACATTACACACCAAGGAAATATAAAGAGAATGACATAAGTCTTAAGTGAACAAGGTAGGTTGGAAGTTAAAAAGTGCCAGAATAATCCAAGTGTGAAGTACAAAGGTCATTCTTTCAAATCAATTACTAATACTGGAACACTTATAAATTCCCAATTCACTTGCTATACTAAAAATAAAATAATTGATATGACACCCAAAGCACAAAAGACAAAAATATAGATAAACTGGAGTTCATCACAAAAACTTTTGTGACTCAAAAGACACCACCAAGAAAGTGAAGTGACAATGTACACAATGGGAAAAATATTTGCAAATCACATATCTGATAAGGGACTAGTATCCAGAATATACAGAGAACTCTTATAACAATAAAAAGATAAGCAATCCAATTAAAAAATGGGCAAAATACGTAAAGACATTTCCCTCAAAGAATATACATGAATGGACAATAAGCACATGAAAAGATGCTCAACATCATTGGTCATAAGGAAAATGCAAATCAAAACCACAATGACCTACCACTTCACACCTACTAAGATGGCTACAATAATTTTTTTTCAAAAGTAAAAGAGCAAGTGTTGGTGAGGATGTGGAGAAACTAAAACCCTTATACACTGCTGATGGGAATGTAAAATGGGGCAGCCACTGTGGAAAACAACTTGGCATTTCCTCAAAAAGTTAAATATAGAATTACCATATGACCCAGCAATTCTACACCTAGGTAAATACCCAAGAGAACTGAAAACATGTTCATGCAAAAATGTGCACACAAATGTTCACAGCAGCATTATTCATAATAGCCAAAAAGTGCAAACAGCCCAAATGCTCATTAAGTGATGAAGGGATAAACAAAATGTGGTGTATCCACACAATGGAATTATTATTCAGCCCTAAAAAGAAATGAAGTATTGATATATGCTGCAACATAGATGAACCCTGAAAACAGTAAGCTAAATGGAAGAAGCCAGTCACAAAAGACTACATATTGTCTGATTTCATTTATATGAAATATCCAAAATAGGCAAATCTATAGAGACAGAAAGTAGAGTAGTAATTGTTTAGGGCTGAGAGGGTTGGTGGAAATGGGAAGTGACCGCTAGAGGGTAGGGGGTTTCTTACTGGTCATGAAAATGTTCTAAACTTAGATAGTGGTACACAAACCTGTGAATATACTAGAAACTATTAAATTGTTCAATGTAAAGCTGGTAAATTTTATGATATGTTAATTATCCCAATAAAGCTGTTATAAAATAAAATCATGAAACAAAAGTCAGTGGGAAGAGGAGAGCTTCCAAGTTTAATTCACAGAATTTTAGGATATGCAGAAAGGACACACACTAGGGTGACAACAAAGGTATGAAGCAGGTAGGGAAAAGGCCAAGGGAAAGCAGTAAGTCCTCTTGTGATAACATTACCCACTGTTTCACTCACTAGCACAGTGCTACTATCACAGCTCACATTACAACACAGGGTTACTAGAGTATTAAAAGTCACATTTTTGAATATTAATGACATAAGAAAATATTTATGATATAATGTTAAAGAAGGCAAGCCATATATGTAGTATTATTTTAACTTCAGGGAAAAAAGTATGAGAGGGGGCACATCAAAAAGTTCATGGAAAGATCTACAAACTTTTTGAAGTACCCTCATATATACACACACACCAAAGTTTTAGAAAAGATTAGAAAGAAATACATCAAAATATTTTTCTTCATCTGTGCTTAGGATAACAGATAAGTGAATTTCCATTTTTATGCGTGTGTGTGTGTGTGTGTGTGTGTGTGTGTGTGTGTGTGTGTGTATACATATATGTTTTTTTGTTTTTGTTTTTTTTAAAGATGACCGGTAAGGGGATTTTTTTTTTCCTTTTTGTCTTTTTTACTGAACGGTAACGGGATCGCAACCCTCGGTGTCGCGCCCGTACCGGGGACCAGCAACGGGATCGCAACCCTCGGTGTTGCGCCTGCACCGCACTCAGCCAGTGAGCAGGAACCGGTCTCCACATGGGATCCGAACCCCTCGGCGGGAGCGCCGCCGCGCTCCCAAGCGGCGCACTCTCCAGTGCGCCACCGGGCCGGCCCCGGTAAGGGGATCTTAACCTTTGACTTGGTGCTGTCAGCACCACACTCTCCCAAGTGAGCCAACCGGCCATCCCTGTATAGGGATCCGAACCCACAGCCTTGGTGCCATCAGCACCACACTCTCCCAAGTGAGCCATGGGCCGGTCCTTATATATATATATATATATATTTTTTTTTTTTTTAACATTTTCACAATGAATGTTTCACTTTTATAATTGTGTTTAAATGTCATTTAAAATTGAAAATAACATACTATAGGGACAACTGCTTTCTGGGGTAACTGTTATATTACAGTGTCATTCATGTCTAAATTCCCAAACTGAATTTATAAAGTGGAAGTGATGTAACTGTGACGAGATGCTTGACTCAGCTATCTGGATGGCTAGCCAAACAGTGTCTTCCTCTCTGTCACTTCCACCTGTGCTTCACTCTGTTAAAGAGGATGACTTTCACAGATTACTTTGGTGAACAAGTAACATCCCAAACTGGAGCCCATGGGTAGAATTCAGGCCATGAACATGTTTTGTGTGGATGACTCAGCATCTCTAAAAGATTGAATTAGTTGTCAACATGTAAGAAAAATCAGAATATTTCACATAGAAATGCAGATTTCCAGCTTCTCTTGAAAAGCCAGAAAATTTGGCCACACTGAGCTCACCATCAGTGCAAGGCAGGAATGGATGGGAGCTGAGAAACAGCTGTCCTCTTTCAACAGAGCCGGTGCTCTCCAGTTCACCACAGTCCCCAACACGCTATTATCTCTCCAACTCTGACATAAGTGCCACTTATGCTGTGTTATCATACTCATGCTGTTTTTTCTTACAACAGAGTTAGGAAGAAAGTGAAATGTTTCCAGTACCCATGTTACAATCAAAGCAGAAAAATAAAACAGACTAAGAGGACCATGTGTTTAAAGAAAAATGCAAACATACTTTCTTGTTAAAATAAAAAAAAATTCCTGTATTTTTAATATGCAAATAAGATTTGTCTAACTCCAAAGAATATACAACACAATGTACTTCGTTTTGTTACTACCTTATGTGCCTGGATCATGTAAGTAGCCTGGATCATTAAAGTAGCTATGTTCAGTTCCTCAAAAAATTAAACATAGAATTACCATATGACCCAGCAGTTTCACACTGGATACAGAATGAAAAGAAGAGTCTCAAAAAGAAATTTGCACACCCATGTTCATAGCAGCATTATTCATAATAGCAAAAAGATGGAAGCCACCCACGTATTCATCAGTGGTTGAATGGATAAACAAAATGTGGTATACACAATGGAATATAATCCAGCCTTAAAAAGGAAGGAAATTCTGACATATGCTACAACATGGATGAACCTCGAAGGCATTACGCTAAGTGAAATAAGCTAGTCACAAAAACCAAACACTGTATGATTCCACTTACATGAGGTACCTAGAGTAGTAAAATTCATAGACACGGAAAGTAGAATGCGGGTTGCTAGTCACTGGGGAAAGGGGAAAAGGAGGAGGAGTTGTTTAATGGGTACAGAGTTTCAGTTCTGCAAGATAAAAAGAGTTCTGAAGATTGGTTGCACAATGATGTAAATGTACTTAACACTACTGGACTGTACATTTAAAAATGGTTAAGACAGTAAATTTTATGTTATGGGAGCTCTACCAGAATTAAAAATAAAGTAGCTGTGCTCCCTTGACAAAATCTCCAATTCTATTTACTGTTGTCTGTCCCTTGGCATCACTTTGTGAAAATGTTCTAGTTAGTTCCATTTTCTGGCTTTAAATTAAACTAATCAAGAAAGCGCACCCTGCTGTTATCAAAAGAAAACCTCGAGTAAAAGAATGTGTGTGTGTGTGTGTGTGTGTGTGTGTATGCATGTACACACACATACATTAAGCAAATAAGGCCAAAATTTCATTTAATCCAGGTCTTGCGTATACAGCGTTCATTAATGGATGCTAAGACCATTAGGTAAAAGATTATTAGGAATTAGGATATATGCATGTTGCTAGAATATCACCCCACAGATTACCTGCTAATTACAAAGGGAAAAATCTTATTTTTTACAATAACAAGATCTGGTGGACATCACCTTACCGAATAATCAAACTTGGCATTACTAATCATGGGACAATCTAACATTACATGCCTCTTACTGTGATGCAATATGAAATACACATTTACCTCTGAAGCTCTCTTACCAAACATGATTAATATGAATGTAATCAAGCCAATGGACCCAACTTTCAGTGTATAAGAAATACAGGGGATAGAAGTACAAGTTAAACACTATAAGGAAACATTCTGTAAGAAAACTAGCCTGGTCTCATCAAAAGAGGAAATTTTAGTATGGACTGGATGTTAGGTATTAGGACTTACGTTAATTCTCTTAGATGTGAAAACGGTATTGTTATTATGTAGGAGAATGTCCTTATTCTTAGAAGATGCATAATGAAGTATTTAGGGGAGTGCCATGATGTCTGCAACCCACTTTCATACAGTTTAGCAAAAAAATAAAAAAGTGTGTGTGTGTGTATACACATAAATAAATAAATAAAGCAAATATGGCCAAACTTTATCATTTAATCCAAGCCATAGGTATGTAGTGTTTATAGTTCTTTCAATTTTTTTTTTAATGTTTGAAATTTTTTTTGGTATGGCTGGGTTTTGTCAGCTAGCCATTTTTTGTTTATTTTTTTAAAAGGGGCTTATGGGTATTGTAGCTTGAATTCTTGCCTCTTGAGAATGCCTGTTCGTTACCTTTTAACTTACCTGAGTATGTTTGTACTTAATTTCCTTCAGAATTCTGTAGACATTTTTCTGTTCAAGCATTGAGTGTGACTGAGAACTCCAAGATCACTCTGGTTTGTTTGTTTTTCTTTCTAGTGGTGATTTGCTTTGCTTTTCTGCCTCAGTATCCATATACTGTTTTTTGTTGTTGTCGATGTGTTGTTTTACTATTTTTTGTCTTTTTTACTGACCGGTAACGGGATCGCAACCCTCGGTGTTGCGCCCGCACCGCGCTCAGCCAGTGAGCGGGAACCGGTCTCCACACGGGATCTGAACCCTCAGCGGGAGCGCCGCCATGCTCCCAATCGGCGCACTCTCCAGTGTGCCACCGGGCCGGCCCAAAATTTTTTATATTAAGAAGTTGGAAAATTATAATGGAAGAAAAATAGCAAAGCTCTCATTTTTATTTATGTCTATTAATGGGACTACCCATTCCACTCTCTGCATATATTACTAATAGTGTTATTTAATATTACAATATTCAATGATTAAAACAGGATTAAAAAGTTACAGCAACCATGACAACAAAAAAGTAAAGTATAGACAGATGACTAGAAGATAATATGGCAAAATGTTAACAGTGATAATCTCTAGGTGATGGGACTACTGGATATTTTTCTTTTTACTTTTATTTTTTCAATGCTTTATAGTACATCTTTTACTTTTCATAAGGTTAATAAAGTTGTTTTAGGTAACAACTTTTGAACATGAGCACTACAGAGACTATCAGACAAACATTGCTGTATTATTACAAAACTGGCAAAAAATATACTGAAGAACTAAATTCACTAGAAATTTGAACAAAGCAAAATGCCTATCTCAAATAATGTAATAACTTTTCCCACATATAAAACCCTGAACATTAAGCAGAAATAAAGACCACTGATAAGTTTTGTTCTTTTCATAGGTGACGAGGAGCTTTTTACCTTAATTTTTGGGTTATAATTCATAATCTTATACCTTTATATATAAAAGTATTCTTTGCAAATTTTAGGAACTGAGAGTATAGGACAATACCAGAAAAAGAGTATTTACCCTCCATAGACCCCTGGTGCCTTCTTGTTGGTATATATCGATGAAGCTGCCAATCATGCTCCCTTGGAACAAGTTTCCTTGAGCCTGCATTCGAATCTAAGATAAGAGATGAACATTTTGTTTTGACGAAGAGAACCAAAACGAGACATTCCACTCATTTAAAATTAAGATAACAATATTTGAAAATTATCAGAAAAAAATTTCTCCTATTATGATGAAATTAATGAGTTAAACTAGAAAGAATGTAATTTGTGTCAAAGTGTATTTTAAAAAGACGATTTTCATCAGCCTCACATTCCTCATACTAAATCTATCATTTCTGGAGTTGGAAGAAAATTTGGGGAAAGGAAAGACAAGTACTCAGCAGGGGTAAAAAATAATTCATTTAAAATACAATTAGTGAAAAATTAGAAACAACCTAACCATCTAAAAATAACAACAATGGATTGGTTACATAAATTATGATATATTTATTTAATGGCATACTATGGAGCCATAAAATTTTGTGGTAGAATAATATTTGTTGACAGTGGAAAACTGCTAAATAGAAAAAAGGTTGCAAAACAGCATGTATATCATTTTTACTAAAAACATGTAAATTTTAAAAATATCCATAAGTATGTAGAGGATTCATAAAGCAAATGTACTTCAAAGGGCCTGGTTTTCCAAAGCCTTGCAATTTCAAATGCTGACCTTGCAAAGGACAGGAAATTTTCCCCAGGCTATTGAGTCTCTGTTGCAAGATAAGAATTGTAACACAGCAAGATTGCTGGCTTAAAGACAAATTATTAATTGATATGTAAAATTACTAAAAAGCTGCTGGAGTGAAAAGGAATGTTTGCTAAATCAAGCCTTTGTTAGTGGATCACTTAATTGCCTAACAGAATGTCATCTGACTTGTTTTTAGTGAATGTTACCAGCTTCTATTGTAAAATTTGTTAAACTGTACTTAGCAAAACCCCACCTATGTCTCTTCCTGTAACTTCTTGGTCTGGAGAATAAATGCAAGAAGAGAACCCCAATTTGTGGTTAATTTCCCAAATGGAAGAATGCCTCGCGCTTGTGGAAGTTCTGGGATATTAACCCCTTTCTGGGGCTTCTCACTGCTCAAAAGAGATGGGCTTTGAGTAATATTTGGCGGCTCCATCACCCAGGGGAAAAGGGGTGACAAATCCATGGGAGGCAAGGCAACATAAATATAGTAAAGAGACTGGATGAATATATACACTCAAATATTGACAGTGGTTTATGTCTGAGTTGCAACGCTACCAGTGAGCATTTTTTTCTTTTGTGTTTTCCTATTTTCCATTTTTTTCTACATTGACCATGCATTGCTTATATAATTATAAAAAGCAAAAATGTTTTAAAATATGCTTTTATGCTTATAAGACCTTAAACTGAGTTTTATTTGTAAAAAGTGTGATACTATATTCTGCCAAGTGGCCTTTGAGAGCTGCAAGAAAGACAAGATAGCATTAAATTGCCATGTAAAAGACTTGGTACAATTTGCCACTGACTCTCCACACACAGAATCATAAGTAGCCAGTCACTAAATACTAGTGGCCCCAATGTAGACCTGATTTTCATGAAGCACAACTCTAGCATTCTAGGTTTCAATAAATGTCCTTGGTAAATCCTATAACAGCAGCATGCTTTTATACAGAAAGTCAACTGCTATTAAGAGTTTTGAAATAAAAACCTAAACCCAATCAAATCGAGATACAGATTATCACAAAGACAAACCAAAATAACAAATACCCTATATAGTAAGTAGAAGAAGTCTTCTATCTACTTACCATAAAAGTAATAAATGAGGTAATAAATGACTAGGACTAGGACGAGGAAGAGGCAAGTAAAGTACTTCCCTCAGGTACAAAATGTAAGGGAGTGTAAAAACCTCAGTAATCAAGATAATACTGTCTTAATGCAATATTTTTTAAAAAATCAAAATTAATCCACAAAAATCCATGATGGACCAAATAACAAAATTTTAACTAAAGCTGGGCCCCAACAGGGCTAGGATTAGGGTGAGGTGAGTGATATGAGTTGGACAAAATTTTGATATTTGGCTCACTGTGATTTTTTTGCATTAATTTTAATTTTTAAAAAATATTACATAAAAAGGTTATTTTTCTTGATTACTGAGTTTCTTGGCACCCTCTAACATTCTGCACCCAAGAGGACTACCTCACTTATTTCACCCTAGCCCCAGCCCTGTTCCTGAGGATAGTCTTGAAAGTCAAATTCACCATGAAAAGGAGAAAAGGCATTGCACAGAGGCAAAGAAACAACACATAGTAGATCTGATATGGATTTATATAGATAACTCTGGCTTCAGTCTGAAGATGGGTTGATGGAGTACACACTAGAGTGAACAGGCAAGTTAGGAGGGTGCTGAGATGAGGACCTACAACAGGAATGGCGGGGAAAGAACAAACTTATAAAGATAGGAGAAAGAGCTGTCCAAGGATAAGTGAAAGGACTGAACAGCCCAATTTTGATTATAAATCATGTTGGCATGGTCACAGTCTACAATTGTGACTATTCCCCCAGCACCACTCAGCCCTACCAAGGTATAAGAAAATAAAAAGGTAGATTGCAGGTCAATGGTTATGATTTTGCCAGACAATAAGAGGGACAGGAAATTGAAGTGAACCACTTATGTGATTAAGTCTAGGATTCAGATGGATAAGAAAGGAAGTTTCAGAGAGTTAAGTATTGTTATTCTTGAAAAGCACATTCTAACAAGTGTAATTACATTGCAAATACTTTAGAGCTTTAGGATATAGACAATTCTCTTCATAAATACTTTTTCTGTAAATCTAAAGTGATATAAGAATGCTATAACTAAATTACTCTCACTTTAGTCCAGAAAGATTATTTCATATCTTTTCTCTGTCAATCATCAATGGTTGCTTTCATGTGTGTTGTTTTTCAAGTCACTCTCTCAGTTCTCAAAACTCTCTGAATTGCAATACCTCTCTCCTTCACTAGCCTAGCCACTTGTGGTTTCATCAGTGCTCAAATGAATAAAGCATGTGTCCTCATTTTTTTCTCACATTCCCCCAAAATAATTTTTAAAAACTTGTGATCCTCTCACATATTTTAATCATATATTTGGTGCTTTTAATTAATAATAACTTTAAATAAGTTGATAAATAGAAAATATTTACCATTCTTGAGATAAAGTAAGATACAGATTGATATTAAATGTTTCATTCTGTGGTTTGATTAAATCTTAAAGAAATCCAACTATATTCTTAACAAATCAGCATCACTAATCTATACTGTTCTGGTTCTGAATTCAGAATATCTCAATGCAGGCAAAAATCTACCATTTTTAAAGCTTTATCTCACACTTAATAGAAATATGCATAAAATAGGAAAAGACAGAGGTATTACAGATGTAAGGTACCCCAACTAGTTATTAAAGGAGAATTCTTCAAAGGAATTGGTCAACGGACACAAAGAATGATTGCAATTGTAATGAGAAATAAGCTTACTATACTGATCTAACCATCACATATTCTACACAATTATTAAAAATCAACGTTGTACCCCACATGTTTAATAAAAAATAATAAATAAGTGAATAAATAAAAAACTTAGGCTAAAAAAAAACTGGATTTCGATTTATCCCTTTGTTTGGTATCCCAGGTTACATCACAGATCAACATACCATACCAAGATATGGAATGGGTGGAGGATATGCCCTTCTTTTGTAAAGTAAGGAAAGGGCTATTTATAAATGCAGATTCATTCTTGGACCAGTTTTAGGAAAGATCACAAAATTAAAGTAAGGGATCTGGAAATTGATTCCCTTAAAACTCACAGCCCTTCGAAAGAACATATAGGGGCTTGCATAACCCAGTTTGAAGGCCAATGGATTACTAAACATCACAATAAATTGACTACCATTTATTGAGCATCTACTACCAAGTACAATGATAGGCAGTTAACATATATTATCTCTAATCCTTAACAACTCTATGCTACAAGCATTGTATTATTTTCATTTTACAAATGAGGAAACTGAGGCATAATGCAGTTAAGTGACTTGCCTAATGTTTTACAGTTGACAAGTGACAGAGTGAATATCTGAATCTAAATTTGACTCAAAGCTCATATTCTTTTCAAATCACACTGCATACATCATTCTTACCTTTAGAACATCAGTGGGGTTGGCTATAGTGGAAGATATCACTCCTGACACTACCCCACAAATCATATTAATTAGAAGAGTTTCATCTGTAAAAAGGAAAAAAACAAAGAAAGGGCTGCTTGTGTTAGGCACCAGTTTCTGAGGAAGGGAAACTTGAGCTATTGGAGGAAGGGAAACTTGGTCAGAGAGATGACTTTAGAAATGAGCTACAAAACCCATACAAATAAAGGAACTCAAATACTTCTAGACCCCCAAACAGGACTGAAATATATAAAATTGTAAAATATAAATCATTTTTTAAAAATCATTATTTCTTTTTTTTTTTTTTTTTTTTATTTTTTTTTTTT